ATTATTTTAGTTGCCTTTCTATGTGGTATGAGCTTATTCCCAGTATGTTTGGCTCACTGGGAACCGCTTTGGTGTCTGAGAGCTCATATGTGCTGGTGCCCCTGCTGCTAGACTTGTACCTCTCCTTCAGATGTGCTCTGCAACATGTCCAAAGGTTGCAGACTTTGATCATCGTTAGTACCTACTGTAGTCACTGATATAGAATGAATCAGGAAGGCATCAAAACTGTCCATTCAGTGTTCATGCCATTGAGCTTACATTACATATGTTGGAGCTGTATGTGCTTTCTTTTTTTAAACTGGCGTGTATCTTCACATTAAAAAACAATCAGTATTTGCAGAGGTGATCTACATGAAGGACCTATAATTAAATTTGACCATACGTTTCAGCACTGTAGGAGAAGAACGATGGGTGTTTGTAGTTTAATGTGCTTTCCCCTAAGGCTTCAGTGCTTTTTTCAGAGCTGGTGGAAGTGACTCTTACACCTACAAAAATAAAAGATACTAGAGAAATCACAGGCATTTTTTATTTCCTATAGAGAGGTCAGTAGTTCACGTTATTAATCCATGATTATGTAGGACAAAATATGTATTCATAATTATTCATAATTTAATCTTAATGAGAACAGCAGAGACTGTTTTATGTAAAAATATCAAGTGGAATATCTCCAGTTTTCGATCACATTTCTTCCATTATTAGTAGTAACTATGTAGTACTTTGTAATTAATATTTTTACTTAATTGAATTTCAGAAATCATTTATAATAATATGCCAACACATGCTGTCATCATGCTATAAATACTATAATGTGAGACGTGGCCATTGATTTAATTCGTTTTTTAAATAAATGCTGTCGTATTAAAGGGATCACCAATAGATCATTGTATTATTTCTAACAAATATTTTTGGTTTCGATATGGGAATTTTTAAAGTTGAAAATTCTGTATCTTAGAAGATCTCCCTTTATTTGGTATTAAATGTGTGCATCGCAAAATATTAGCAATACAAAAAGAAGGCGTTTCTGTGAAGAACGAAGAACCTGGCATTTAGCATGAATGTAAATATTCGCAAAAAATGTTTTCTTTGAGAAGCCAAGATGACAGGAAGAATGTCTAGACTTGCCATATTGTTCTGCTGGCAGCACATGGCTTTAGTCTAAATTTGAATGGCTCAGTAAGAGGAGCCCAGTACATGTCTTTAAAATAGTCTATTTGTACCCATTAAATGTTGCTCTCCTAAGCGATGACACACCAAAATATTGTAATCGATTTTAGAAATTCTCAGTCCCTAAAAGAATCTTTTAAAATTGGAAGCAATTGTTGGGAAATACTACTGAGGAAATCCTACATGCTCTGAATTTTTGAAGGTGGGAGGGGCATCTGACCTGTGTGAGGAGACCCCCCACTGACATCGCCATTCTGACCTGCTGAATGGCTCGAATACAATAAATGCTGCTTTCTCTTTTTATTCCCCCCCTTCTGTCTCTCGTCTGAATGGAACAAGATAGCAGGGCCCTAAATGCCTGGGTTTGCTTAAAATGGGCAACCCTGGGACATATGAGCTGAACATGTTTGAAATCTAAGGACTTGGCAGTCTGGGAGCCAGTACAGGTCACCTGCCTCACTCCATGGGGATAGGCCGCAGGTCTCACAAGAAATTGTCCATGGATGAGGTGCGGTATAAAATGCATACTGCTGGCTGCCCCCCACCACTAGACCATGGCCTATAAAATGTTGTCAAAACACTTCTTAAAATTATTTGAAAGGGCGAGGAGCCTTTGACAGTTTGACTGATCGTCTGTGGCTTGAGAATTGAAATTTGGTGGATAGGGTTCTCCTTTCAGGGTTCCTTGTGGAAGCAGATAGACATGTGCAATAGTGGAGATAAAAATGGTGAAATTTTGCTGGAAGAATTAATGTAACATACTGTATGTATATCACACATGTATTATTAAGGGGCTGCCTTTTTGTTTTTTGCAAAATAAATGTACTATAAATATATAAGCGCATGCTTTACGGTGGTCTCTGTATTTATCGCATACGTCATAAAAGAAAACAGAACTGTATGGGGCATACTTTTCAGAAAATAATACTTATGATACTTAAATAATTAAAGGAAGGTGGAATGAAATTAAACCGGACACTTTGAGAAATGACGTAGACTTAAATTTAAGTCTTTTATTGTTGCCTGTTGTGGTCATAAATATTTATGTTAAAGATGTGGTCTTTAGCTTTGAGGTTGTCCAATTCATAAAAGTAATTTGCAAAAAAACTGGTATCTTACTTTTTAAATAAATAGTGAATATGCATACGGATTTTTAACTTGTATGACCCCAGCTGTCTGACAAGCAACTCGTCTGCTTCTTGAATGCAAATTAAGTCTGCTTTATTAATTTGTGAGGGTGCAGAAAAATAGTTGGCACCTTTCAGCTTCATGTACAAAAACAAAGAAACAGGTACTGCCAATTAAAGTGCCGTTTTTCGAGCAATCAGATCATAACGGATTACCCTAAATTCCTCTGATAATGTCATGCAACGCCCTGAGAGAGAAAGCTAGCAGAGGCTTTCCTTCACAGTCGGGGGAGATCTGAGAGGAGCTCGCCTGTCCTCGGTAACAAAGGGTTGGGGAGTGTTAACCTGATTTCTGCATAGGGGCGTCACATCAGCATGTGAGGGTAATAAAAAATTCTTGTGTGTACTCTCTCCTTGGATAGCCGCGAGGCATCTCCCAAAGCCTCTGGCCTGCCTAAGTCACTGGCCTGCTCTTTAATTGCCACACAGACTCCGTGACACATGGGCAGATAATATGACATTTTCAGCTCTTGTCACTAGTGAACACCACAACATCCCTTGTACTAGTTGCTAAGAAGCTGTCACAAACCATTAGCAGTTGGCCAAAGTTACCCTATGGCATTTCCTCATGGCATCAGCAAAACGAGCATAAATCACCCAGTGGAGCCTGCTGCTGTACTAATGAGGCTGTAAGCTTGTTTATGGACTAGCATCATTTTTATGATTATTTCCACCTTTTCAGCCTGCCTTCATAATTTGCCTTTATTTGGCGGCGGGAGAAGTCAACTTCAGAAACACAGTCGCTGCTGACATTTTACAAATGTGGCTTATAGCTGCTGCCATATGCCCGGCCTGCCGCTTTCCAAGTTAGCTCATTGATGTTAAAAAAAGAAAGAAATTAGCCCCAGACCTCACAGAGGTGATCGGTATCAAATTGCAGCGAAAATGGAAATGCCAATAAAATTGACGGCTTGGACTTTCCTCCAAGGTTTAAGCCCACAGAGGTCAACCTTAAGTAAAAATATTGGGAAAATGAGGTTAAACATTTTAATAATAAAGAGCAGGCTCAAAAGAAAGCTTTGGAGTACAAACAAAATAGTTTGCCTAAGACACCAGACAGTGTCTTTCCTAAAATCCCATGCTTGCTCCTGTTTCTGTAACTCGCGTGGGACAAGCCCTGGGTTTATTATTTTAGGCTTTGCCGAACATGAACTGGTCTTTACACCGGATTGAAAGCATTTGCTTCCAATGAAAATCTTGTCTTAGATTACAAACCAGCAGTGTAATTTCCCTCCCAGATGGGAGCAGAGTAGCTCTATTTGCCTAAAAACAGTAGGAAGAACAAACTGTGCATTAAGCCAAGGCTGTTTTTGGCTTGAGCTAATGATGTAATAGAAACTTGCTATTGGGGGGGTGGCAGGGCAGGTCACTTCCACAGTGAGTGAGCAGGGAAGCTGGCCCTTGCTTAAAAGCTTTCTCTATTGTATCTACATAAGTCTTCACTTAAAAATCACTGTTTCTAGGGCTGCTTCTCTCTTACAGCTGGAGAAAACAGGAAAGGCTCTGGCGAGTGTTTTATATGGAATGTAGAAAGCCTTTCCTCTCCTAATGGTGTATATAATTCAGGTGCCCTAAAGGCATGCTTTCAGGAATTCTTTTGCCTGAGGTAATGGGAAGCAAAGGCTGTTTTAAGGCCTTGATTATTCCATTGATGCACAAAGCTGGAAAAAAGTCATCTCCACTGGATTACAGCAGATATTTCCATAAATTATCAATGAATTTGCAGCCAGGTGCCGAGTGTTGCCTACTAAATGAAACCAGAGTAGTAGGAGAGCAGACAGGGTTAAAATATGGTTATCTGCCTTGGAGCGGTGAATAGCAGTGTGGTTTAGAAGTGCTTTATATTTAATCAATAAATAACTGTATCCAGTTCTTCGCCTGCTTAGTCCTTCTGTTGAGAACAGAAAAAAGTGGGTTATCCCATTGAAATTTCCAGTGCTGTTGAGTCATTTTCTTTGCTCATGTTTCTTTTATGAATTATTATTTTATATGGTAAATTGCTTCATCTCTGTATAAAAAAAGCCCTTTCAATGCTTGGCTCTGAGAGAATTTCTCTGTCAAAGCTGTATGGAATGCTTATAATAATTGTGGCTATAAATAAAGAATGTGCGTGCTCTGTATTCATTAAATGCAGAGTAGGCCTTAAGTGCTGTCTCCAGTTCAAAAACACTAAGCTTTTTTGCTTGTTTTCTTTAACTGCCCTTAATGAAATCTTATCGAGCACCGACAGGTTGCCATAAGTACCATTGTTATTAAAATGCTTGATTTCAAAGCAGCAGTTTGTGCTTAAACTTTTTTACCGTCTTCTTTGTAATTCCTTATAACTCCCTCACCTGAGGTAAATGCATTTTAAATAAAGAGTTGAAATAAATATGACTAAATCATTGTGTCACGTTTAAGTCTTTGGTAAATTTCAGAAACTGTGAAATGGAACCGAAAAGTCCTTTGTGATTTCATCACATTTGACTTCCTAATGTCAGTTGAGTGTTGGAAAAATTAATGTTCCAAATGCCAACCAAGTTTGTGATTTTCAGGACAAGCCAAATGCGTTGTGTAAGGCTCTCCTTTGCTGTGTTCTGTTCTTTGGCATGGGACCAAAAAAACTGCAAAGCCCCTCTGAAGGTTGTGTCATGTGTCATGTTTCGACAGGTGATGGCTTGGACAACAGTGTGGCTTCACCCAGCACAGGAGATGATGATGACCCCGACAAGGAGAAAAAGCGCAATAAAAAGCGAGGGATCTTTCCAAAAGTAGCAACAAACATCATGAGGGCGTGGTTATTCCAGCACCTGACAGTGAGTGACCTGCTGTTCTGTCTTACTGTGTGTGACCTCAGGAACGACACCCAATAATTACACCTCAGCGTTCTAGAGTGTCTTGCTGCCACAGCTGCTCGTAGTGATAATAACTAGACAAATGTCAGGATTATACAGTTCTATCCTAATAGGGTTTATATTCCCAAACTGGGATAGAGTCAATCAGCTTTGACTTAGAATATGCCCAAATCCAAACAGCTCAGCTACTGGGCACAGACATTTTTGGTAATTGACAAAAGTTATTTTTGTTTTGCTTGAACATCACATGTCAGACCTTGAGCCTTGCGTAAGCATTTGATTGCTGTCCTTTCTGTCTCAGCATACCAAAATGAGCACCAAAAATTGGCCTAAAAGTTGAAAGCAAAGGCTGAATACATTATAGTGTGCCAAACAAATAATAGCAGTGAGTATATGGGCCAATGCCCCAATTCTATGAAAGTGTGGTTGTGCCATTCAAGGTAGTAAGTTTCAGAAGAACTGAGATGCTAAAGTATGCTTGGGGAACAAGGCTTTTAAGATGAGCCTTTTTCTTTTAATTTTACCTTTTTAATATAGGTATCAATTAAAACGATACCTGCGGTAGTGAAATTAACCAATTGATGTGGTTGGCCCACAATCTACTGTTAGATACTGTAATTTCCTGAGCCACATGTAATGTGAGTGTAAAGTAAATATATCCATAGCTTCATTTGCAAGTGTGTCTGGTGGGCTCAACAAAATTATATTATTTGGTGGTATTAATTGGCTGTGTAGGGAACAAAAAGGAAGCCATTCCTTGAGACCATTTTAAAAAGAAACACAGTTATTTAAATATAGATTGATGTCAAAACATGACATGTTAGAAGATTACTTAAAGGTAAGCATATTTATAAAGATGTCAGTTGTTAGCCCTGAATTTGAAGTTACGTAAAGTAACATTTTCAATAATATGTGTTGAGCTGTGCAGATTGTTTTTAAAAAATACTATGTTGTGCTGAAAGTTTCCAAAAAGTGGACAATAGTAATTCCTTAAGCATATATGTCACATCCTGCATTGTCTTGTAATTGCTTCCTAGTTCCCTCAACCGATAAGGTATTTCTTCTGTGTGATTTGGGAGCTTATTTTAAATTTGGCTGTCTGATATTTAGACTTTTAGGTACCAAGGCTGCTAAAACACTCAAAACATGTTTCTAGTGAAACCTTAATCAAGCGGGAGCTTTTCGTGATTTCCATACATCATACATCCGAGTTGAAGAGGTGTGAAGTGTGTACAAGCAGCACCTATCTCACACCTCCATTCTAAAATTGTCAGAGTCCCTTTGAAAGGTGAAGGTGTTTGAGTTTGAACGCCATTGCTAAATACACACTGCATATCTTGGGGTCTGCAATAATATATGCAAGGGTGTTTGTTATTGCCTTCCCTTTGCCTAAATGTGATAAGTGATTCATGTATAAAGGCATTAATTATACAGTACTACATTTCACAGTTGTTGATTAGCGTCTACAGTAGAAAAAGAAATACGATTTTCCACGCTGTTACAGAGTACCTATTGAAGTACAGGACAGTCTGCCTTGATGCACCATAGACATTAGGAGGGAAGCTGTGAATTCTGACAGGCCAAGTATGCAAATGGTTTTGGATGCCTTTCTGTGAATTGTGAATAAGGCAGTTCTATTGTCCAGACGCTGGGTCTAAATTCAGACCTTATGACAGGAGACTGCTGTATTGCCAGAAACAGTCATTCTGCTAGGAGGCCTGGGAGGTCAGATCTGTGCATTCGTGCAGCTAGCTAAGCTTCGTAACCTGAAATTGTCTGACTGCCAAATGGGTGACTCTGCAGAGAGGCAATCCTTATATTTTAGCGCCTGTGGGAAATGTGCATAGAAATTAAAATGTGTGCCACTGGTTTTTGGTGAGTGTATAAAATGGTCTTGCATACTGGATTAAATCCATTTGTTTAAAAGCTGTCAATAAAAGCTTTATTTACAATGTATATACAGACATATATTTTTTCATATTCAAAATGTGCTTGGCTTATTGACAGAAACACATCTGAAATATCCATGTAGTTGAAAATATTAAACTAGAGGTGAAGGTGAAGTCGTTAGGTTAATGAATTGCAAAACGTCTTTCAAACTGGCTGTTTTGCTCATTTGAAATCACTTTGTTTTTGATATATGATGGACCATATCGGGCTTGTGAAGGTAAACCATTTAGAAAAAGAAAATCCTTCTGCTTCCTCCACACATCAAGTCTTTCACTTTAAAATACAGCTTGCAATGTCTTGTGGAGACATGTGACCGAGTGGCACACAGGTTTTAAGAGTTTTCTGTCCGTTCATCTCCAGTTCCCTTTGGGGAGTGTGAACAGCCTGGTCGATGTCTACTTTCTGATACAGTAGATTGTATAGAAAAAAGGTACACTTTTGGAAGAATGTAATCAAGGAATTTATTTATGAGAGTTCTGGTTTGTAGAAAAAGCTAACTTTGTTTGATTGAATTTCAATGCATATGATTTAATTCCATAAATAATGGTGAAGCAAGCATAGAAGACATTGAGTACTGCTAACGTGCTGGAATTAATTGTAGAAATGCATCCATAAGCAAAGCGTTAATAGGCTTCAGCAGCAGTAATTTTAAAGATCAAGATCTTTATCTAATAACTTGTACTTTTCTTTTGTGAAATCATCCACTGGAGTAAAATCTAATGCTGCATACCTTCCTTATTTAGCTTGACAATGTTAGTCCTCTTCAGAAAAAGGTGGTGGTGTTTTTCCAAATGATTTTCTCACTGCAGCTGCTTGCTACAGTTGTCCTTAGCCCTAAAAAAGCAGATAAATGCGCAGTAGCTGGAGGAAGAGTCAGTGTGTGAGCTGTTAAAAAGGTTATATTAAGTCCCAAAGCTTTTTACAACCAGGCTTGTGAGGAATTCAGCCCAGCCGAAAGTGTGAGTGTGCAAGGAGACGTTACTGTGAAATGGAAAGTGGGTGGTTTGCTGTGCTCTTTTACTCAGGCAGTCATTTTCATGTGGGGAGGGGAGAGAGGTGGGCTTTGAGCAGCCCACATGTAGAACTGTGATGAGCCATTGTTTGGGAATCATTAGTGGATTTAGATTTAGAAAGCCTCACATCAGGTCTTAAACCAGTTATTTTTTATACACTGAGGTATTTTGTTATTTGACTTTTTTTTGTACTGTACATGCACGGCTCTTTTAGAGTCCAGAGGAAAAAATAAAACAAAAAACACTTGCCGTTTATTGGGAGTTGTGCAAATTTTCAAGTACCAGTGAACACATTGTGATAAACTTGTGGTTAAGAAAACAAAAGCCACAGCCCAACCATTGTAGTTATTTTTTCCCCTTGTTTGTTCTGTTTATCTTAACAATAATGGTACAATTGTGCCAGGCATCCTGACGAGAAATGGGTATTCTGTTTTTCCTGTTTCTCTAGCATGTAATTGGAGGTTTTCTTTCCTCTCTCTCCTCCCTTTCACAAATGGTATTTTCTTGTTTAATTTAACAAGAAATGAGTAGTAAATGAAAGCCATTGCCTGAAATCCCACTGTGACTGTATTTTGCACTCGGCTCCCCAATGAAAAGGCAATTTGTGGAATTATGTGATAGAGTAATTAGATGAAACCCAGGCTTCAGATTGTTGCCATGCAGACGTTGTGAGGCCTTGCTGGAACAACAGATTATTACCCTGGCAAGCTGGCTCATTGCTTCTTCTTTTATTTGTAAACAGAATATTTAGCTTCTGAATGCAAAGGAGCCATGATCGCAGCTCGTAAAAGTAAACCACAGCAGAGCTTTCTGAATTTTTTCACGGAGTGTTCATGTAAAAATTGAACTGGAAGGCATAATCCCTGTTAATGCAATTAGGAGCTAATTTACCACCCTTTGCACACAGATGTAACAATGCCTGGGTAGCTATTTTCCCTGGAAGCACATTAAACAAACCTCAATGCAGCAGCTTTTGAACAGAAACAGGTGTGAAAACTTCCATAATTCATTTCAGCACTCAAAACGTACCAGTTGCAGGGAGAAATTTATAAAAAATTAAATATTGCCTAAAAGCTGGAAATTACTATGTGCCCTTTTGGGGACTGATGGATTTTTAATACTTAAGTCAAAACTAGGAAAAATCAGTTAGGGTGGTGGTGTTCTGGTTTTGCCTCATAGATTTTAGGACAGAATGACAGATGTTCAGCATATGACCCTGCTGTGAATTAATGCTTGGAAAACTGTGTGTGATTTTGTAGGGGGGATACTTTTTCAGTGTTGTCTTTACATACTGCTTGAAGGAAGCAGAGTACTGGGAATAGAATGACAGGTGGTCTCACCGATAAACAAATCAGGCCTCTAGACTAGATGTAAATAATCCTGTTTTTTTCATGTATACTCATGCTTTTTTTTGCTTTTCCATTACTGACAGAACACCATTTTATATAGTTGAAAAGTTTCCCATTCTTAGAGATAACTTTGTAAAAGTACCTTTAAAACTACATTTCCTTTTCAAATAAACCATGAAGACCAAAGAGGAAAACTAAGACGCCTTCTTGAGCCCAGTTCGTTTTAGCTGAATGCATGTGGTATAAACCAATGGAAAAATTGTTGACGTTTCCGAAAATCTGGAACATTTCTCTCGGGCTTGTTGTGCGTGTATTTAGTTATTCTCATCGGATGAAAAAAAACGTCCTGAAAGCTGTCAGGCCTGGGCTTCGTAATGTGGTACTGAGTGATGACAGAACCTTGTCAGTTACTCCCGTCCGGTCGCATTGCTATGGTGACAATGCGCCGTGATGAAAGTTATCATTAAGGTTCGGACAGCATACTTGGCGGTTAGTGTTGCCGCAAGCCTGCTTGTTGCAGTGTATTAAAGTCGATAGCCCTTGGTGTTAGAACAGGACCAAATCCCTCATGACAAGGACGCAAAAACTGCTGTGCAAGATGCGAATTTCGGATATTTGTCGCCGTTGCTTCCAGCGCGACAGACACATA